TGACCTCTCGAGGTCCCTTCCAGTCCTAGAATCTATGAATCTATGAACCATAACACTTTTGGATATTCACCAGCCTGATCATGAAAGATGGCCTGATCAGACTGGATGAGAGAGAAAGAATGACTCCAATTATATCACCAACTCCACGAAATCTAGCTAATCCTGACCATCACCTGGACTGTGAGACTGGCATCCCATTCCCCCAACATGCATCCTTTTCCTTCACCACCTCATTTCTTCTCTTTCCTATCTCTCTCCTTTTGCCTTTTGTTCAGTAACAGTCTGGCTTCACTGGCCAAGACTGTATTTTGCAACACAGTTGTAAGCCTGTGACCAGAAACGTAATGAAAAACAATGCCCTAAACCTCCTGCTAGGTGTAGGAGTGTCTGATAAGAATATGTTTTGTGCCTGTGTTTCTCCAGCAATGAGGTTGCAAGTAAGAATCAGCACCAGAGACAGAATCTGCATTTCTACCTTTGCTGTTGTTTTCTCTCTTCCTTTGTGTGTGTTTCTCATTTTTTGTCCTAAAGGAAGCAGGATTAGACTTTAAACAACAGCAGCTCCATCCCATCTCAACTAACTGTTCCTCTTTCCCCCGACAAAAAAGGAAATTTATCATTATCTGTAATACCATCTAACAAAATATCAAACAGGGGAAGGGGGTACTTCTAAAAACTCTCTATAGCTAAAGGGAAAGGGAATAAGGGATATTGTTAACACAAAGCCTTAATTAATACTTTACATTTCAAATGCTTCAACTCTTTTTTGCGACTTTTTCTGTATCTGTAATAAAAGGTGGACAAGATTTTCAGTAAAAAGAACAGGAGTACTGTGGCACCTTAGGCCTGGTCTACACTACCCCCCCACTTCGGACTAAGGTACGCAAATTCAGCTACGTTAATAACGTAGCTGAATTCGAAGTACCTTAGTCCGAACTTACCGCGGGTCCAGACGCGGCAGGAAGGCTCCCCTGTCGATGCCGCGTACTCCGCTCGCCGAGCTGGAGTACCGGCGTCGACGGCGAGCACTTCCGGGATCGATCCGGGGCACTTCCGGGATCGATCCGGGATCGATTTATCGCGTCTTAACCAGATGCGATAAATCGATCCCAGAACATCGATTGCCTGCCGCCGGACCCTCCGGTAAGTGTAGACGTACCCTTAGAGACTAACAAATTTATTAGAGCATAAGCTTTCGTGGGCTACAACCCACTTCTTCGGATGTGGGTTGTAGCCCACGAAAGCTTATGCATCCGAAGAAGTGGGTTGTAGCCCACGAAAACTTATGCTCTAATAAATTTGTTAGTCTCTAAGGTGCCACAGTACTCCTGTTCTTTTTGCGGATACAGACTAACACGGCTGCTACTCTGAAACCTGAAGATTTTCAGTGGTGTGTTTGCTATGGCACTAAGCAGGCCAGGGTCTCTGTATTTATTCCAAACACTGAGCCCTGTTGAATGCTGAACTGTGACAGAGTCACAGTAACACCTTTGAGTCTCTAGGCACATTTATTCCATCAAAATTAACAGAGCAACACTATGAAAACATATAGGCCTGGTCTACACTAAAAATTAGGTCAACACAGCTGTGCTGCTCAGGACTGTAAAAAATCCACACCACTGAGCAGCATGTAAGCATGTGTAACCCTTCTGCCAGGCCAAGTTGATAGCAGCAAGGGCCGGGTTCAGTACATAGGGGTCCCTTCCCAACAGCGTGACACAGAACCAGCTCGAGCCCCCACCCAGTGACCTGGGAAAATCTTACACACACCCCTGGGCGCCTCGAAGAGGCAATACTTCCCCTCTCGCAAGCACAGAGCCTCGGTGTAGCAGAAAATGTTTAATAACATGAGGTAAACGACACAGCATTAAATTGGGAAAACACCACAACTAGAGTTCATAGACCAAACCATGAGCGAAGACCCACCCCAGCATATTGGGCCGTGTCCTTTCCCGTTGGTTCTTGAAACCAGCAACCAAAGTCCCAAAAGTCCAACAACCCCAAAGTCTCTTGGGTCCAGCAACCCAAGAATCACCAAAGTCCCAAAAGTCCAACAACCCCAAAGTCTCTTGGGTCCAGCAACCCAAGAATCACCAAAGTCCCAAAAGTCCAACAACCCCCCAAAGTCTCTGTCCCTGGTCAGTGCAGCCCCAGAGTTCAGGGGGGAGGGGCGCAGGGTGTTAAGGGGCACCTTACGTGATCCGAGACCAACCGGCCGCCTCTCCGTGGGGTTCCGCCGCAGCCTTCACCACGAGCCGTTCCACTCCACCTGCTGTCCCGTGAGCCGCTCCTGCCGTCCCACGAACTGCTCTGCTCTGCTCTGCTCCGCTCCGCTCACCGACCTGTGAGCCGCTCAGCTCCACTCCGCTCCAACCGTCCCCGCAAGGCTCCACTCTGCCAGCTGCTCCTCCAGCTGCTCTGCTCCGCTCCGCTCACCGACCTGTGAGCCGCTCAGCTCCGCTCTGCTCCAACCGTCCCCGCGAGGCTCCACTCGGCTAGCTGCTCCTCCAGCCGTCCCCGCAAACTGCTCCGCCAGCCGCTTAGCAATTCAGGCTCCCCCACTAGTTAACACAGCCTCAGTGATCTCAGCTCTTAGTATCTTTAGCTCTTTTGTGATTTCAGCTCATAGTGATTTCAGCTCATAGTAGGGGAGCCCCAGTGCTGGTGCACTAGTGGCCCAAAGTGAACTCAGCTCAGCAGCCTGTAACTAGACTCCTAAGGGAATCAAAGTTAGCTCTGACATTCAACAGTGGAGAGAGGAGAAGGTGCAATTGGTGTTTCAGGCTCACGCAGGGGCCCCACACCACCAGGTACCAATACCTGCCCCCAACCTCTCTCAATTCACTGGGTTTTATAACCCATGCCCCTTGACAAGCAAATGCTACTTAGGTAATGGTGACGGATTCACTCAGTCCTTCTGTCATACAACAGTTCCACTGGCCTTGATTCACAGAATCAGGGTAACAAAACTTTATTCTTCCTGCCCCAATAACAGAGAAACTGGGGATCCCACACCAGCCAAAGTAACCACTTTCGGTTGCTGTGGGCTCATGCTAGGCGTGTGGGTGTGCCTATGCAAACAAGATCCGCCCCTGGAGTTCTTTTCCACACTCGCCATAATTCACCACCAGATGTCAGGGTAGAGCTCATCCTGACTCTGCTTACACATGTAAGCCAACCCCAGTGTAGACAGCGCTAGGTTGATGGAAGAATTCTTTTGTCAACCTAGCTGTCACCTCTTGGGGAGGTGGATTACCCATGCAGACGGGAGAACCCCCCATGTCATTGTAGCTAGTGACTACATTGAATTGCTGCAGCAACACGGGTGCAGCGCTCTAGCTGTGCCACTGTAGCATTTCCAGTGTAGACAAACCTATAGTAAGAGAAAGTCGTTGCCCTTGAAGAGCTTACATTCTAAATAGACAAGACAGGCAAATTGGTGGGAAGAGATGTAAAGTGACTTTCCCAGTGCCACACAACTGGTCAGAGATAAAGTTGGTAGTTGATCCCAGGCCTCAGTTCCACCCTGGTGAATTGCATTGCTTCCTTTGCTCTGTCCGCTCCATGTTGGACAGTATTTATATTGGGAGGTAAAAAACATCCCTAGAGATGGAGGAAGAGTCAGCTTAACTACATACGCACTGGAAAGGAAATTAAGGGATTATTGGGGCGTCATGTTCCATAATGCCCATCTACCAACAATGCATGTGCAAGGGAGAGCTAAGAATGTCAATCATATCTTTCTAGCTTGTCTGGCTACTGTGGTCTCTCTTCTGATTGGCTCCTGAATGGTGAATTTAAGATGATGACTAGCAACAATTTTGGCCACTTCCAATTCTCACTCTCTTCAGTTGACATTAAAAGGCACCAAAGCTTACATGAAAGAAGGAAAATCTACCAATAAACCAAAGAGAATGAGACTTTCAAACTGCTAGAAGTGTATTTTTAAAATCTCTGTTTGATTTCCTTCCTTCAGGCACAATCCTCCTCCAGTGGGAAAAGGACTGGGCCCTTCCCATCATCATACTCTCCCAATCTACTTCCTTCTACAGGTCAGCAAGGCTGTTGGCCCTCTAGTAACTATTAATTTGCCTCTACATTCATTGCATCTTGGAAGAATACAACCACTGCTCCCTAACAATTTGATTTTAAAGCAAAAATATTTTGCAGCTATTCAGGGAAGATGAGCCCTGCTCATTTGTAACAAGGGAAGGGGGAAAAGAGAACAGAGAATAGGAATGGCCAGCTATGTTTTAAACTTTTTTTTTTTAATCTTCGCAACCTTCAGCAGCTTGACAACCCATTTTCTTCATATCATCCCCTCTTTCATTTAGAATCTGGCTAATGAATTTTAAAAAATTAGTATTTTACCTCAGGGTTATTAACCATGAAATGTGTAAGTGAGTAAGGCCAAGGAAGAACAGGCAGAAGACAGTGACAGAGAATATTGAATGCTCTGGCATCACCTGGAAAGAAGTACCACAGCTAGCAAGTGACCTTAATCAATGGAAGAACTCAACTACCCAATGTGTCAGCTACTCAGAAGGAACTAAGGTCTAAGGTAAGGTTATTAATCAGGGGTTTATTCACCACACCTAAGGTTAAATTCCTCAGCTTTCAGACCAGGATATGGTTGTCTCACAACACAGAAAAGTCCCTCAAATTACAACCCCATTGAAAACCCATTTGAAAACCCAGGAATTTATTATCAAAACTGACAGCCTTCATCCATCCAATCTTTAGAGCATGGCATTTAATTTTACTCAGTATTATACCCTCTAAGGTACATATCTCATGCTTACCTGTATATATGGATAATCTGTTATCAAGTCTCCCTTCTCATTGTAAGTAAAAACTGGGATATTTGGGGCTATGAACATTCTGAAAATAAAAGATTTTAAAAAATTAGAAATTCAAAAGCAGGGGACCCTGCTGGAGAAATATAGATAATGCAAGATGGCGCTTGATGTAAATATATTGTATTCAATCATTAGGTAAAATTGGTTATAATTAGTTTTGCTGTTGTTAGGCATATTGATATCATTTTTATAAGAATGAAGGGGGTTGTTTTTCTGTCAGCTAAAACCGCAAAACTAGTTCAACCTAGTTATAACTTCTGTGAGAGGAAACCATCAACTGTTACATGAGGATGTGTCTGAGACAAGCGGTACACCAGCTGACGCAAACATGTACAGCTGGCACTTTGGCACAGAATACAAAAGGGGGGTTTGAGCATCAAGCTTCAGCTCAGCAGGCCTGTTGGACAGCCATGACCACCTGGATGAGGTGGTGGGTCCTTCTTCTACCTCTACTGCACATAACAGGCCATTGCTTATAGTCTTAGGGAAGTAATATCATACTAGTGTCGGGGACTTTTTAACTCAGACGGCAAGGTTCGTTGTTTGACCGCAGAGTGAGAGACAGGCAACACCAGCAAGGTTCAATACAAGCTTTTTATTGAAGAGTGCACACAACAATAGAGAGCGGCCCGTCTCCAGAGAGAACCAGCACACCCTTTACAACAACTAGTGAGATTATATAGACAGTTTTGTCGCGTTATAGTTAAGCAACTTAAAACCCCAAACCCCCCCTTATTAGTGAAAGCTTTTAATATTTATGCATATTTATTTTTTTTGACAGTACAAACAGTTTATGATGCCTTAGCAGCTTTTTATTAGCTTTTTTGTTACGTATTAGAGGCTAAGAGAAAAGAGGGAGTGACGTACAGATAAAAAACAGAAACAGGGAGTGGGGACTTCGAGTCTTTATTTGTTTAAACAAATTGTTCCTGGTATATTTGGTACAAGAATGCGGCCCCCACCTTTTATTTTATTCCCTGCAGCTTAAGCAAGCATGCCCTTAGGTTTCACAGAGAGACAGGAATGGCCCAGCAACTACTGTTAGCCTAACTTTGGCTAAGCTGGCCAAACAACTATACTTTATATTTTTGGGGTTAACAATCCCCCCTTTGTCCCTGGAGTACCTTGGAGGGACTCCTGGGACAACTAACTGCCATGAGTGGTGAGCTTGGGGTTGGTTACTTTTGGACGGAACACACTTTGGTGCCCATTTAACATTTAACCTTTATTATTACATACAAGGCCAGTAGGCCACATATAATTACAACAGCGCTTTGGAGTACATTATGGAGCCAACCATTTATATTTGGAATTTAATTGAACAGGTTACTTTACCAGGACTTAATTTATTTTTTTTTATGGTTTTTTGCTACTTTTATAAGGTGGTTTGCTTTTTTTTAAGTGGCATTATAAACGTTTGGGACATACACGCAGCATTTTTGTTTAATTAATGCACATGTTTTTTCCTGAGAAGCCAGTAATATATTTAATGCCAGGCGGTTTTGAAGTACCATTTGCCTTAGTTTTCGCTGTTTAGCTGCCAAATTTACCAGGGCTTTGGCGGTAGTCTAATTTTTTAGATGTTTCGGTGAATTACCCAATTTCACATGCATTCTTCCCATGGACCCGGCAGGATTCGGTATGTGGGAGCCCACACCCCCCCCCCAACCGGTCCATATGCTTGGAAGGAGCATTGAGAATGTCCGCACTTTCACCCAGAAAGTTTTTAAGTATGTTTTTATGGCCACAGATCAGATGGTACTCCTGATGTGTCTGTAAGGGCAGTGGGCCAAGCCTGATGCTTTAGATTATTTTGAATGGCTATTAGCTGGTCATTCAGGAAATTCTGAATTTCTGAACATGCTAGATCCCACTGAAATGCCTTTTTAGCCTCAGTGATATTTAATACCATCTCTGTCAGCAACTTTTGGGTCATTGATATTAATTGCAATAAGGTACAGGTTACATTATTAGTTACTGGAATAATTTTTATGCAGGTAAAATTTTCAGTGGCAAAACAAACTTTGGGTATTTGTTTAATTATTTACTAATTGGGTGACCAAATAACAATAAGGGCCTTTTTTATTGATTATATTAACTATATGACATTGTTTATATTTGGATGTGTTACAGGGGTAATAGTGTTATGGAGGAAATGGCAGGGGCAATGGCAACAAGGTGCCTTTGGTACTTATTATTTAAAATTTAATTAGGGAGGGCAATACATGCTGAAGGACTTATTTAAAACACAGGGCGCAGCCTGTAGAATAAACCCCAAAATTTAATTAATTTTACGTTTTTTAAGCATGGGTCCCACAAATTTTTTTTTGCTAGTGTATAATTTTTTGTTTTTTTACCAGGGTTAGTTTTTAATGTCTCTTGTAGTCAGGAATTTTTGGACTTTGTTGGTTTTAATGAAGCAAGTGTTCCTTTTTTTTTTTTTTT